CCCGTACCATCCTCATACCCAGGCGGCTGCGTCATGAACACATCCTCCTCTAAGATCCCATTGAGGAATGCCGTTGATATATCCATCTGAATGATGAATTCCCCACTAACGGTTGCATCTGCCAACAAGACACGGAGGGTAGGGGGTTTGGCAGTCCCGCTTCTCCTTCTGCATAAACCCCTTAGCCACCAGCCTACTCTTGTAGATGGTGACCTGTCCCTTGTCATCGGTCTTGATCCTTAGCACCGACTTGCACTGTACGGCTTTCTTCCCCCCAGGCAGCACCACCAGCTCCCATGTCCCATTCTCTAGCAGGCTCTGTTACTCAGCATCCCTTGAAACCAGCCACTTCTCCCTATCTGGTCCGGCTAATGCCTCCTCCATGCTAGCTGGTTCCTCTGGTGCAGGGGCAAGAAAACAGTAGGCAGGTTCATCCTCGTCATCCGGATCATAGCCATGCGGTAGAATCAGCAATGCCTCCTCTGTCCCAAGCTGCTGCTCTGCTACATCAGCTCCTGCAGTCAGCTTCTTAGTAGCCATACGGGTACGTCCTGGCCTGGAGACGGGTGTCTCCCATACCCGCATAACAACACCCTTCGGCTTCTTAGTTTTCCCCTGCTGCTGCTCTCCTCCCTTGGATCCAGCAGCTCCACTAGTGCTACCGCTAGTCTCCACACTATCACCTCCACCAGCAGGTGCCTCCTGCACCTTCTCTCCATCACCACCCTCTGCAGCTGCCTCCTCTCCCTCCTCCCACACACTAGGAGTCAGGTCCAGCTGCATGGTGATCTGCTCCATCTGCTGGGACACCCTGGCCTCTGGCTGTTTCTCCCAGCTCCCATACATCATGCCCTCAACAAACTTCACATCCCTGCTGTCAAACAACACACCCTTGGAAGGTTCCCACAGCAGCCATCCCTTACTCTCAGCAGCCAGCCCCAAATGTACACACAAGATTGCACTTGCCCCCAACTTACTGCGGTAGGTCTTGGGGACGTGGGCGACTGCCATGCAACCGAACACCCTCAGCATGTCCACCGGCGGCTTCCTCCCAAGCCACCTCTCCAACGGCACCCACGAGTCATCCCCAACCTTTGTGAGTACCCTGTTCCTAGCGACGGTAGCGTGCCGAACAGCATGGGGCCACATCAAGTTGCCCAGCCCAGATTCTATGAGCAGCGCCCTAGCTGTCTCCAGAATTGTCCGGTTCGCCCGTTCTGCTACACCGTTAGACTGTGGGGTGTAAGCCGTGGTCAGCTCCCTCTGGATGCCCTGCTTCTTGAGCCAGGCCGTCATCTCAGCTCCAAGGAACTCACCACCCCGATCTGTCCTAATCCGCTTCACCACATACTCCGCTTGCTTCTCCACGAATGGCAGCCAATCTTCCCGTATCGTAGAGGCGGTATGGTCCTTCTGCTTCAGCGGATATGCCCACATAAGCCTGCTCCAATCATCCACTATGGTCAGAAAGTACTACTCCCCCTTGTGCCCCTGAACCAGCAGCGGCCCCACCAAATCCATGTGGACCAGCTCCAATGGCTTCTTGCTTCTGCCAGCCACACTATGGAAGGGGAAACAGGTAAACTTTGAGAGCAAACAGATTTCACAATTCTCATCAGGTGGCTGTCCGTTCAGCTTCAGACCCTTAACGGCTCCGTCTTTCTCCAACTGCTTCAACAAGGGCATTGCCACATGCCCCAAGCTTCGGTGTGCCGTTGCCCAATCCGTCTCCCCAGATCTGGCCGACACTTTCACACCAACCCCTCCAACGGCGTTGCACTCCCCCTGGGATGCAGACCCCTCTCCAGCCTGCCCCCCACCATGCCACGCCAATGCCGGCAGCTGCCACATGGATCTGTACACGTCCGTGCTCTCGTGCAGATCCCAAAGCACCCGATTGCCCAGCTGCCCCTTGTAAGTGCGTGCCCCATCCGTGCTAGTGCTCACCCCAGCCTTGCCAAGCTTACGGAGGGAGATGAGGTTGGCCTTGAGTTCAGGAACGAGGAGAACGTTGTGCAGCACCACCGGCTTGCCATCCGCTCCCTTAAACGCAGCTCGTCCCGCACCAGCCACCTTCAGCGCGTGTCCAGAGGCGGAGCACACCTCGTTGATCGGTGCAGCGCGTACGTGGTCCAGCAGGTCCTTGCGCGGCGTCATCGTCCAAGCAGCGCCCGTGTCCAACACCCAATAATCCAGGGGGTGCAGCTCTGCTCCAACCTTGGCAGAGGCGTCTCCTTGCTCCCCCTGCTCCTCCTGCTCTCCAATATGGAAGAACTGGCCCGCGGTGCGCTCCTTCTTCTTTTCCGCACCGCCGTTGCTCTTCGGGTTGTTGTCGGACGAATCGGCGACCATGCTCGCGTTGTTTTTCTGGTTCCTCTGCGCGCCGCCATCCTGGTGACGATTCTGGGGGGTCCATCCATCGGGTTTCTTATAGCACAAAAACCAGGGGTGCCCCTCCTTCTCACAATACCAGCAACTCCCTTTCATTTTGCCACCAGCACCCGACTTGCCCCCACGTCCAGATTTCGCACCGCGACCCCAACCGGTACCTCCTTGTTGGTCGTTGGAGTCGTCGTCCTTCTTTGCACCGTGTCCAGCACCACCGAAGCAACGTCCTCTGCCACGTCGGCTCCCTTGCATCCCATAGCCGCTGCTGCCGTCGTCTCCACCCCTCAGTTGGCGCGACGAAAGTCCTCCTCCAGAATCTTTGTCCGCACCCACTCGAGTGTCCACGAGCTCTGGTTCTGCGGCAGGCTCAATCCGCTCGTGAATTGAAGCCACGATTCCGGCAGCAGCGAGAGCATCTTCAGGCACTTGGTCTGCTCCGGGTAGGTGATTCCCGCGGTCGCCAACTTCGCGTAGAGGTGACGCATCTTGTCCAGGACAGGTTGCACCGGCTCTCCCTAGCTCAGGCGCAACACGGACAGCTCCCTCTCCAGCATCAACGTTGCAACAACGGAGGTCGGGGCGTGCAGCTACTTTAATACGATCCATGCCTTTGGACCGCACTCAACCTCCGGCAGCAGGTGCATGACGTGGTGACGCTGGTTCAGCTCCAAACTCTGCTACACCAAATAACAGCCAGCCGAGGAGCGCTCGTCCCAATCTTCCTGCAGCGTGGGGTCACTCGGTCTAGGCTCCTCCCCAATCATTAGTTTCAGCAATCCAATCTGACGGAAATATAGTTGCATTTTCCAGGCCCAATCATCATAGCCCTCACCATTGAACTTCTCGACGGTGAAGTTTTTCAGCACCTCCTTGACCAGCGAGCCCTGGTTTGTTCGCGCTCCCCTTGGCGCTGAAACGCCAGAATCTTGGCTGCCGCTACGATCTTGGGCTGAGATTCACCAGCTCCCGTCGAGGTGTTGCCCGCCATAGCTACCTATATCGAGGATCACTATAACGCAGCTCTGAAACGACGGTGGCTGCCTTTGATGGCCTAACTTCATCCAGTAGATCCTCTCGGTTGGTCATGGTCATGAAGGCTCCCGTGTCGATGACCCAATGGGAGGAGCGGTGAAGCGCAATCTTGCTGGCCGGCACAACCATGTCCTCGGGGCACGCCTCCCCTACATGGTAGAACACGCCGCCGTATCCGCCAGCACCTCCATCGCCCTCCTCACTGCCCATGCCTTCTCCCATAGCTCCATGAACACCCTTGGAGCCCTCAATTGATGGCTGACCAGGCCTCCAACCGTCAGGTAGCTTGCGGCACTTGAACCATGGGTGCCCTTCCACATGGCAATACCAACACTTGCCGCCACACCGCTTGCCTCCCTTGTTGCCACGCTTCCCTCCCGAATGCTGCTCCCCTCCAGAGCCTTCCTTGGCCTTGCCTTTCTTGTTGCCACGCCTCTTGAAGCCCTTCATGCCGTAGGCTGAACCTCCACCTTCACCGGCAGCGGCGGTCAGCTCCTTCCTCCGAAACTCCTCTTGAAGAACTTGCCCGCGAATCCACTCAAGGGACCATGAGTCCTTCATGCCATTAAGGTTGACCACCAAGGGCCCCCACGACTCCGGCAGCAGGGAGAGAGCCTTTTAGCACTTGATTTTCTCAGGGTACTCCACACCAGCAGCAGAGAGCTTCACATAGAGGTCCCTGAGTTGATCGAACGCTCCTTGTACGGCATCACCCTCGTTGATCTTCACCGCATGGAGTTGTCGCTCGAGCACCACCACCATAGCTTTGCTGCTGGGGGCATGGACATCCTTGATGAGATGCTTGATGTGGTGCAGCTGGTTGGATGAGAGGCATTGGGAGAGAAGGAAGAATCCATCCTTGGACCGGCGATCCCATTCTTTGGTCGCTCCTTCGCTCGCAGGCCTCTTCAATTCTCCATCCATCACTTCAAGCAGCCCATAATGGTTGAAGAGGAGCTCCATCCTGAAGCTCCATGATGCCCAATCCTCCCCAGAGAACCGTGCGGCGCGGGAACCCGTTTCAAACCTGTTCTCGACATTTTCACTTCAAATATTTCTATCTACATCGGTCTCGATTTGACACTTGCTGGTGTCGCTTTGATTCTTCCGATACCTCGTTTTCATACTCAGTAACGTTGGCTCCTATAGCATATACGAATGTTTCTTCATAAAGATTCAGATCTCAACATTCATAAAACGGTTAGTGGGGGTGGTGCATTAGGTGGTGCTTCAAGAAGAAACAATATGGAAACTTTACCTATCTTAGTGCAAGAGAATCACCACCCTTCAGAACAGCAGACCTTGCAGTTGCAACAGGGGCCGAGCCTACGAACCTAGCCTGCATTAAGAAATGGTGGGAGAGAGAACGAGATGTAGTGGTAAAAACGTTAAGAGTGCACCCGCAACAGAGATTGGCATCACATTGAAGGATGGACCTTGGCTGTATGGCATGTAGGACAAGGATACATGGAGTCCCTAGGCTTGCAGTAGCACTTTCAATTCCAAGAGCTTCACATCACTCACCATCACCGCCCGCCGCTTGGCCTCCTCCCCATCCCCCTCCAGCGGCACCAGCTCTATCAGTGGCCGCGCTCCCCTCCACTTGCCCCTCCCTCCTCCGCTCCCACTCTTCCCTCTCCACCTTCCCCCCTGCCCCTTCTCCTCCGCCTCTGCCCTTTGGCCTCCTGCCCTGACCCCGAGGGTGCGGACAGCAGAGGAGGGCCGGTGTTGTGGGGCAGCAGGGAGAGCGAGGCAGCGGGCGGTGCGCAGGAGGAGGGGTGCAGGCGGCCCTCCACGAATGCCACCTTGCAGTCATCTTGTAGCTGCAGGGAGGGGCCGGGGGGGGAAGAGGAAACGGGGGGCATAGGAGCATTGGGGTTGGGGAGATCCAGCTGGTGTGCCTGGGCAGAATGTGTGGGTGTGAGATGTTCTAGGGCGTGGGGAAAAATGGTTTGCACATCCATGCATGTACGTGCATGAGTGAGGTCATGCAGTGGTGGCATAGTGCATGAGCACAAGGCATCAGCGGGAAAGTGGTGTGCACACCTTGTGGAAGTGCAGCCCAATCAGCAGATCATCGCTCAGCTTCACCTGGTCGCCAACACACATGGCTGAACAGGACAGGGGGCTGGAGGAAACAGAGGATGAGGTATGCAACAGCTATAACCCACCTAACATGCATCTGCATGGTTACGCATGCCACCTACCATGCCACCTATCACCACCATAACCTAAACCCTCCATGGCACACACCCACTCCCCTTTCCTTAACAACCCCTGTCACATGGCATGCGGGTCTCACGCATAAGGTTGATGCTCTCGCCTGGGCAGGGCGCCATGCATTTGCTGCTGATACCCGCAATCAGTTAACTATGACGCCGAGAGGAGGTTGAATCATAGGTTCTGCACGATGAGCACGTCATTTAGTTGGATATGCATATTGCTACTGCGATCTTTAATCCCTTGCATTTTGCCCGCAGACGCTCGTTCTTCACCACGGTGATATACGTAATTGTGGAGGTTGGGATGGCGTTTTAAGATGTTGTGCCTAGAGCCCACCATGTGCTTCCTGCAATAGCTGTCAAGACACCTAATTGTTTTGTTGCTTATCATCGTTACGCTCGCGGAGCGCGAGTCGCGGCGTGACGATGCGTGGCATGTCTAATTTCAAGAAGCATTTGCGCGCAATCCAATCGATGGGCGCTGGCCAAGGGTCATGCATATTAGGGGGGTTTCGAGCAAGGGGACCGTAGGTTCCAGTTGTGGTCGTCTTTGTAGGGTGCAAATTCACATTGCACGACATCCTGCCGTCTGTTTGTACGAGTATGCGTGTGCTAATGCATTTGGGTGTGAATGGAATGTTCGTGTGTTTGTTTACTTTCGCAATTTTTGCTTGAAGCATTTGCAGGTACTTGCGCATTGTGCGCTTCGGCACAACATTGTACGCGCCATGAACAGTACAAGCAGAAAGGAGGTGCTCGCAAAGGAACCCAAGATGGAAGCTTTGCGGTTCGGTTGAATTGATTGTGCAGATTCAGTTCTATCCAACTCGAAATTGTACTGTTTTGTTTGGTTGACTATAGTGTAGCAGGGCAGGCACTAAAGGAGTACCATTTAGGTGAAAGTTGGATGTTGTTTGTCTGTATCTGCTTGCTACAGGGCCAGGGGAAACCAGCGGAACCAGCATTTGGCTGATTGGGCAAAGACAAAACAGGTTCTGTTTTTAGGACCTGAACCTGGTTGTTGTTTTCCCAGGTTGGAAAAACAGAACCAGAGGTTGTTTACCAACCTACCACCTGCTGTTTTGTCCAGCCAGGTTGGTTCTGTTGCTTGGAGTTATTTGGGATCATCCCTGGTTGTTCCCAGGTTTATTCCCAAGGTCCTTGCTAGCTAGAACTATTTATTCCTTCTCTGTTTGTACCTGGATATAGTCAATTTGATTCAAGCGAATTCCTCCCTTCCTTGAATTTCGTTTCTACGCGGTGCGACGGCGGAATGCTACCCGAGTCAACGCTTGTACGCTAGTACTCCAACGCTAGGCAAACACTGTCTGAGCCATAACTTCGTAATGGCAGAACTTTTCGCGAGGCAACTTGGTTCATTTTAAAGCTCTTGGAGCGAGCTTCGATATAGGAAATTCTCAGCTTAATCCGATCGTTGGTCTGCACGATACGCTGCGCGACGTTCAAGGTACTCTTGCTGTTTTGACTAAGTCCCTCTTGATCCCTCTCTCTACAAACTCGGACCCGAGGATAGGGGCTGGTCTTGTACCAGGCACCCAAGGACCCTTGGAGGTGACCCCGAGGAGAGGTTTTAAGTTTGATAAAGTCTTAATAGCTTGAGTTTATTAGGCCCTTACACCAACAAGCTGGTATCAGAGCTGCGTTATAGTGGTCCTCGATATAGGTAGCTATGGCGGGCAACACCTCGACGGGAGCTGGTGAATCTTCAGCTTAAGATCGTAGCGGCAACCAAGATTCTGGTGTTTCAGCGCAAAGGGGAGCGCGAACAAACCAGGGCTCGCTGCTCAAGGAGGTGCTGAAGAACTTCACCGTCGAGAAGTTCAATGGTGAGGGCTATGATGATTGGGCCTGGAAAATGCAACTATATTTCCGTCAGATTGGATTGCTGCAACTAATGATTGGGGAGGAGCCTAGACCGAGTGACCCCACGCTGCAGGAAGATTGGGACGAGCGCTCCTCGGCTGGCTACTATTTGATGTCGCAGAGTTTGGAGCTGAACCAGCGTCACCACGTCATGCACCCGCTGCCGGAGGTTGAGTGCGGTCCGAAGGCGTGGACCGTATTAAAGAAGCTGCACGCCCCGACCTCCGTTGTTGCAACGTTGATGCTCGAGAGGGAGCTGTCCGCGTTGCGCCTGAGCGAGGGAGAGCCGGTGCAACCTGTCCTGGACAAGATGCGCGACCTCTACGCGAAGTTGGCGACCGCGGGAATCACCTACCCGGAGCAGACCAAGTGCTTGAAGATGCTCTCGCTGCTGCCGGAATCGTGGCTTCAATTCACGAGCGGATTGAGCCTGCCGCAGAACCAGAGCTCGTGGACACTCGAGTGGGTGCGGACAAAGATTCTGGAGGAGGACTTCCGTCGCCGCCAAATGAGGGGTGGAGACGACGGCATCAGCGGCTACGGGATGCAAGGGAGCCGACGTGGCTTCGGTGGTGCTGGACGCAGTGCAAAGAAGGACGACGACTCCAACGACCAACAAGGAGGTACCGGTTGGGGTCGCGGTGCGAAATCTGGACGTGGGGGCAAGTCAAGTGCTGGTGGACAAATGAAAGGGAGTTGCTGGTATTGTGAGAAGGAGGGGCACCCCTTGCATGCTCTGGACTAATGGGTGTTGGACATGGGCGCTGCTTGGACGATGACGCCGCGCAAGGACCTGCTGGACCACGTACGCACTGCACCGATCAACGAGGTGTGTTCCGCATCTGGAAACGCGCTGAAGGTGGCAGGTTCGGGACGAGCTGCGTTGAAGGGAGCGGATGGCAAGCCGGTGGTGCTGCACGACGTTCTCCTCGTTCCTGAACTCAAGGCCAACCTCATCTCCCTCCGTGTGAGCTTGGCAAGGCTGGGGTGAGCACTAGCACGGATGGGGCACGCACTTACAAGGGGCAGCTGGGCAGTCGAGTGCTTTGGGATCTGCACGAGAGCACGGACGTGTACAGATCCATGTGGCAGCTGCCGGCGTTGGCGTGGCATGGTGGGGGGCAGGCTGGAGAGGGGTCTGCATCCCAGGGGGAGTGCAACGCCGTTGGTGGGGTTGGTGTGAAAGTGTCGGCCAGATCTGGGGAGATGGATTGGGCAACGGCACACCGACGCTTGGGGCATGTGGCAATGCCCTTCTTGAAGCAGTTGGAGAAAGATGGAGCCGTTAAGGGTCTGCCACCTGATGAGAATTGTGAAATCTGTTTGCTCTCAAAGTTTACCCGTTTCCCCTTCGATAGTGTGACTGGCAGGAGCAAGAAGCCTTTAGAGTTGGTCCACATGGACTTGGTGGGGCCGCTGCCGGTTCAGGGGCACAAGGGGGAGCGGTACTTTCTGACCATAGTGGATGATTGGAGCAGGCTTATGTGGGCATATCCGCTGAAGCAGAAGGACCATGCCGCCTCTACGATACGGGAAGATTGGCTGCCATTCGTGGAGAAGCAAGCGGAGTGTGTGGTGAAGCGGATTAGGACAGATCGGGGTGGTGAGTTCCTTGGAGCTGAGATGACGGCCTGGCTCAAGAAGCAGGGCATCCAGAGGGAGCTGACCACGGCTTACACCCCACAGTCTAACGGTGTAGAAGAACGGGCGAACCGGACAATTCTGGAGACAGCTAGGGCGCTGCTCATAGAATCTGGGCTGGGCAACTTGATGTGGCCCCATGCTGTTCGGCACGCTACCGTCGCTAGAAACAGGGTACTCACCAAGGTTGGGGATGACTCGTGGGTGCCGTTGGAGAGGTGGCTTGGGAGGAAGCCGCCGGTGGACATGCTGAGGGTGTTCGGTTGCATGGCAATCGCCCACGTCCCCAAGACCTACCGCAGTAAGTTGGGGGCGAGTGCAATCTGGTGTGTGCATTTGGGGCTGGCTGCTAAGAGCAAGGGATGGCTGCCGTTGGAACCTTCCAAGGGTGTGTTGTTTGACAGCAGGGATGTGAAGTTTGTTGAGGGCATGATGTATGGGAGCTGGGAGAAACAGCCGGAGGCCAGGGTGTCCCAGCAGATGGAGCAGATCACCATGCAGCTGGACCTGACTCCTAGTGTGTGGGAGGAGGGAGAGGAGGCAGCTGCAGAGGGTGGTGATGGAAAGAAGGTACAGGAGGCACCTGCTGGTGGAGAAAATGATGTGGAGACTAGCACTAGTGGAGCTGCTGGATCCGAGGGGGGAGAGCCGCATCAGGGGAAAACTAAGAAGCCGAAGGGTGTCGTTATGAAGGGATGGGAGACACCTGTCTCCAGGCCAGGACGTACCCGTATGGCTACTAAGAAGCTGACTGCAGGAGCTGATTTAGCGGAGCAGCAGCTTGGGAATGGGGAGGCGTTGCTGATTCTACCGCATGGCTATGATCCGGATGAGGAGGATGAACCTGCCTACTGTTTTCTTGCCCCTGCACCAGAGGAACCAGCTAGCATGGAGAAGGCATTAGCTGGACCAGATAGGGAGAAGTGTCTGGTTTCCAGGGATGCTGAGTACCAGAGCCTGCTAGAGAATGGGACATGGGAGCTGGTGGTGCTGCCTGAGGGGAAGAAAGCCGTACAGTGCAAGTGGGTGCTAAGGATCAAGACCGATGACAAGGGACAGGTCACCATCTACAGGAGTAGGCTGGTGGCTAAGGGTTTTATGCAGAAGGAGAAGCGGGACTTCAATGAGATCTTTGCTCCCACTGCCAAACCCCCTACCCTCCGTGTCTTGTTGGCAGATGCACCCGTTAGTGGGAAATTCATCATTCATCAACGGCATTCCTCAATGGGATTTTAGATGAGGATGTATACATGACGCAGCCGCCTGGGTATGAGGATGGTACGGGCAGGGTGTGCAAGCTGAAAAAGTCCATCTACGGCTTGAAGCAGGCGCCACGCTGCTGGTACCAGAAGTTGGCAGCTG